CTGAGGTAAAGTCAATAAAACTCTGATCATTTTTTTCACATTTTTTAAGAATTAAGCACAAAATAGCAAAATACTATGAGTTCAGGAATACTGATATTATAGACGCAGTCTTTAATATTTATATTTAATACATACTTTTTTTCATAATTTTTTTTTTTTGATTCTTAAAATTCATTTGACCGCGGGCGCCCATGCCTCTCTTCACATTTTTTTTCTATATTTTAACTCTACTTCAATTATTTTAAAACCATTTTTTTAATTTTTGATGGTCGGTTAGTGTATCATAAATATTCATTGTTTCATGAGCTAATTATTGTAAATAAAGCATTGAGTTTAGGAATACTGATATTATAGACTGCAGTCTTTAAGATTTGTTTTTAATACACTTTTTTTCAAAATTATAATTTTTTGATTCTTAAAATTCATTTGCCCGTGGGCACCAATGCCCCCCTTCCCAAATTCATTTTTAAATTTGAAACCTACCTAATTTTCAAATATTTTTTTTTTTTTTTGATTCTTAAAATTCATTTGCCCACGGGCGCCCATGAATCCCTTCCCATTTTTATTTTTGAAAATTAAACTCTAGTTCATTTATTTCAAAACTGTTTTTTAATTTTTGATGGTCTTTTAGTGCCACATAAATATTCATTATTACATTAGCTTATTATTGTAAATAAAACTATGAGTTTAGGAACAATGAAATTGTAGACTGCAGACTTTAATATTCATTTTTAAATTTTAATACACGTTTTTTGATATATTTTTTTGTTTTGACTCTTAAAAATCATTTGCCTGCGGGCTCCCATACCCCCCCCCTTGCAAATTTTTTTACTATAAATTAACTCTAGTCAACTTATTATTCATTTTTTTTAATTATGATAACTAGCTGTTTTTTTTAAATATTTATTTTCTCATGATATAATTATTGTAAATAACGCTATGAGTTTAGGAATACTGATATTGTAGACTGCAGTCTATAATGGTTGTTTCTAATGCACATATTTTCATTTTTTTTATTTTTTTTATTCTTAAAATCCAATTGCCTGCGGGCGCCCATGCCCCCCTTCCCATTTTTATTTTTAAAATTGAATCCTATTTAATTTTTTTAATATATTTTTCTTTTTCGATTCTCAAATGCATTTGCCCGCGGGCGCCCATGCCTCCCTTCACATTTTTTTTCTATATTCTAACTCTACTTCAATTATTTTAAAACCATTTTTTTAATTTTTGATGGTCGGTTAGTGCCTCATAAATATTTATTGTTTCAAGATCTAATTATTGTAAATAAAGCATTGAGTTTAGGAATACTGATATTATAGACTGCAGTCTTTAAGATTTGTTTGTGATTGATTTAGCTGGTTTTTTAAAATATTCATTTTACTGTGATACAATTATTGTAAATAACGCTATGAGTTTAGGAATACTGAGATTGTAGACTGCAGTCTATAATGTATGTTTTTAATCCACATTTTTTTATATTTTTTTATTTTTTTTGATTCTCAAAACACATTTGCCTGCGGGCACCCATGCACCCCTTCCCATTTTTATTTTTAGAATTGAAATTTATCTAATTTTTTTAAATTTTTCTTTTATTTCATTCCTAAAACCCATTTGCCTGCGGGCTCCCATACCCCCTTTCAAATTTTTTTATTATAAATTAACTCTAGTTCAACTTATTATTCACATTTTTAAAATTTTGATAACTAGCTGGTTTCGTGAAATATTCATTTTACCATGATATAATTATTGTAAATAACGCTATGAGTTTAGGAATACTGAGATTGTAGACTGCAATCTATAATGTTTGTTTTTAATGCACATTTTTTTATATATTTTTATTTTTTTTGATTCTCAAAACACATTTGCCTGCGGGCGCTCTTGTCCCAATTCCCATTTTTATTTTCAAAATTGAATCCTATTTTTTTTTTTAATATATTTTTATTTTTTGATTCTCAAAATGCATTTGCCTGCGGGCGCCCATGTCCCCCTTCTCTGTGGTTAGGTTAGGTTCATTTACACTGTGTTCGCCTGTCCAAGGTGGCTGGATGATCGAGCCCGATTAACAGAAATACTTAGGAGACCTCCAAACGCCGGCGACGTGGAAGATATCTTGTGCGGTCCCCCTCCGGTTGACCTGGCCGACGATTCCGCCGCCAGGGAAAGACTGATTCAGCAGGCTAAAACGAACCGCCACGTTCTCACAACCATGATCGAATCCATCGTGGCCACTGAGGAGGAAGACGAACACGAAGACCAGGCACACCACAGAGCTGCATTAAATAGGAGAAGAATGCATTAGTGTGAAGCGCAAACGAGATCTCAAGATGAACGACTGGACAGACACTCACGCCACTCGCCACCGCGAATCGTCGGAGGTGTCACCGACCACGTCGTTCATCACCCCATCTGTGACACCACGGGCGGGACGGCGATCACGGCATCGCGGCATCTCAACAGGGGAATGAGACAATGAGTACTCAAGGGCGGCGGACTCCGGTCGGCCCGCCAACACGGACCTGTACGTGAACACGAGGGCGCCTGACTCCGGTCGGCCTGGGAAGACCACGTCCACCGAAATGTTAACTCTCACGTATCATGTATATATTTTTTTTTATGTATAACGTAGGACTGTCTGGAGGTAATTCGGAGACTGTCCCGAATACCCCCACGTATGTATAATTATTTGTCTTGTTTTTCAAATAAACGATGGCGGCGTCGCGGAAGCAATGCGCAAGCAGTCCCCGCGGCGTCGTCAGTTCAAAACGGCAAAAAAAAAAAGGTATTTGTGTGGTATTTAAAATTAATTTAACACACAACTACACAAGATATTATATGGGTCAACTGTCATAGGCAGGTATGAAATTAACATTGTACTTACGCTTAAATGTTTTCTTATATTAGAGTTTGAACGTGAATCCACCTTGTAACACTTTGTATCGACACAACTTGAGCACTCCACTTTCAGCTTCTTGTAAAAAAATTATCCTCAATGACTCTTAATACTTTAAAATATTTTTGAATAATTTGGCCAGGGTAAATTGGTTCTTCTAAATCTGCAACCTGATGCAATACAATTATTAACGATCTGTAGGAACGTCAAGCAGACAACAGCGAACACGATACGAATAATACGAACCCAATTAATAAATATTACAAAAGTGTAAAACAGCGTAGGGGGCTATACACGCAATATTGCAATAGCGTATAACTGATTGTGCGCTAATGACCAATTATTGGCAATTGGTTATTCGTAGTCCGTACACACAAAAATAATATTATTTTCTGATAAAATTATGAAAATACAGTCAAATTCGCTTATAACGATCTTCTAGGGACCTAGGGAATCTGATCGTTATAACCGAACATCGTTACATCCGGATCATAA